AAAAATATTAGTTTAAAAAAGTTCCTTGAAACAGAACAAATCACTAAAGTTTTCTATTTTTTTTATCATTAACTTACCTTCATTATTCACTAAAATGATATATATATATATATATATATATATATATATATATATATATATATATATATATATATATATATATATAAAAAACATATATAAACAAAATAAATGAAAATAAAATAAATATATATATAAATAAAGTGTGTGTGTGTCAGAAAATTTGACATCATTTTAAAAGCAATTATCATGAAAACTCCTAAGTCTAGCTCAATGAAATTAAACAGTTTAGGTGCTGAACATCATAAGTTTATTATGGGACTGATTTCATAAGTGTTTAATATGTGCACTGCCTGTGACACGGTACACATCATGTCGGTAGTTAAGCTCTTGCCAAACACACTGTAGCATGTCTCCAGTAACATTATCTAGTGCAGAAGTTGAGCAATGCTAGCAGGAAGAGGTCAGACAGACCACTCCCTTCACATATCCCCCATAACAAGAAATCACACAGGAACAGTTCCAGTGACCATGGTGGCCATTTCATCAGAAAACTGTCTTCATCTCCACCATGGCCAATCCCTCTCTGGCAGATTCACATTGTGATAAGAACGTACAGTCCTCTCCCATTAAATATAAAATCTTGATCTGCTTCTATACATTCTGTGATATATTTAAGGTTATTTCAACAGGAACTGCCAAAATTATTGGCCAGCAAAATGTCAAATTTTGTGTTGCACCTCGTCATATACACACAGGCTACACAAATATACATACATGCACCCCCCCCACTTAAACGTTTTTAGGGCACGGTATTTACTCGTTCCTCCACTAGAACGAGATGTGACACAAGGTCGATTTAATTACACCTGGGCAGGGACAAAAATTCCCCTCAGCCCCCGCAACCGTCGGTTGTGCTGGCCTCGGTGCGAGCACCTATCCCTCCCTCTGGCGCAATGGGAGAGTGCGGCCTGGGGCAGCTCTTCAGTATTATTTTCCACAGTTGCCCCCTCTGTACTTAGACAGAAGCCTCTGAGTGCAGTCTGTCCAAGGAGAGAGACGCAACTGAGAGATGATAAATGATGCACGTACACCCCCTCCAAGGAGGGGGAGCGCTGCGCTCTAAAATAAACGTTTTTAGGGCATCCACATATTGGATCGTCAGGGCCCTTCATGTTTGAGTCATTCCAAATGTATGTCAGATCTGACAACAGTTTCTTTGATATTTAGGCCATTAAAATTAATCTTGAAAGTAGTAAAAATAAATATAACATGGAAAGTAATTACTTGTGCAGAGTATCTGAAAGCATTTGAACTTACCAAATCTCCTGTTCGGTACCACCAGGACTGAAAAATAAAATTTCAAATCCAATTTAAAAAAAAAATAAACTAGACAAATAAATGAAATTGCATAGATTTTATTTCTAAACACTGATTTGTTGCAGCAGATGTTGACTAAGAAGCAGCAGCAAAAATATTTTGTACAAGTAAAATTTCAACAGGGTAATATTTCAATTTGTGCTTTATATGCAAAAAGAGAGGAAAGAAATGAAGTTAGGAATTATGTGGGTGATACATGCATGCTGGGGAAGGTCCCAGCTGACCTTGTCACTCTAGTGTGTGTATATAAAATTAAAATTATATATATATATATATATATATATATATATAAATATATATATAAAAAAATTAAAAAAACTAGAAATGTAGTATTGTAGGCCATAAGTTTAAAATAAAACACACAAGTTGACCGGTTTCGTCCCCTCTCGTCAGAACTGTTAACGGGGAATTTAGATTATGAGGAAAAGAAAAAGTCTGTCAGGTGTGACATGAATGAATGGACAGGAAGGAAAAAAAAAAAAAAAAAAAAAAAAATAATATATAAGTTGGATTCTTTATAAAATGATCCGCAATGGAAGACCCATACGTGTTACGAATGGTATCGCCCAAAGAAAATGTATAATGTTGCAACCAGTATTGCAACATTACAGTTCCTTTTGTATTAAAGATTCATTTTCTTTTCACAAATTCATTTGGAATTGTGATGCCACTAATGGATTTATGTGTTCCTTTGACATCTGTAGCCTCTTCACTTGTGTTCCTTTATCGGAGACGATTGATATTTGCAGCGATATGTTATATCATAGCGATTTGACTCCTCCGAATATACCTGAAGAAGTGTTCGTTGAACTCATGAAATTTGCCACTATGTTTGTCGATTTTAGTTTTGACAATATTATGTATCGTCAGATTGACGGGTAGCGATGGGTTCCCCTTGGGTCCTGTGTTGGCAAATATTTTTTGTGGGGTTTTATGAAGAAAGCCTTTTAAGTTCTGCCAGACCCAAGGTATACTTTCGCATGTTGATGACACTTTCTGTGTGTTCAGCCATGAATCGGAAGTGGATCAATTTTTTTTTCCTACTCAATGGTGTTCATCCTGCCCTTAAATTTACAGTAGATAAGGAGGTCAATGGTTCATTGCCCTTTTTAGATGTTCTTGTTCAAAGAACTCCTTCCTTGTTTATTACCTCTGTGTACAGGAAGTCTACTTTTACAGGACTATATACCCGTTGGGACTCCTTTTGTCCTAAACAACAAAAGATTAATTTGATTAGGACCCTGACACATAGGGCGTTAATGATCTGTTCGGATGACACCTTGAAACATGAAATCAGTTGTTTAACTGAGATCTTTGTGAACAATGGCTATCCGTTGAACATTGTTCAATCGGTTATTTGAGATGAGACCGCCAGGTTCAACAAAATCAAACCTGCTTCAGTAGGTAAATGTCCGGTCTATCTTCGTTTACTGTGGTTGGGTAAGATTAGTGAATCCTTCGCTAAGCGTATTTCATGTAGTTCACGTGAGTGTTATTTTGCAGCGAACGTTCGTGTTGTCTTTCAAACTAAGTCCATACTTTCATCTATGTGTAAAGATGTTCTACCCCCCCCCACCATATTAACTGTTATTTACTATTTCAAATGTAGTTGTAGTTGTGGATGCGACTACATAGGTAGAACGACACAGCGGTTGGACGTGAGAATTAAACAACACGTACCTGCGATAATACTAAACAAAAAATTTTCTTTAACTTATACCATTCGTAACACGTATGGGTCTTCCATTGCAGATCATTTTATAAAGAATCCAACTTGTGCGATGGATTTCAGTGTGAACTGGTTTTCCGTCTTGGCCAGTTCGCACTCACTTTTCCATCTTAAGGTGCTGGAGTCGCTTTACATCAGGTCTAGGCAGCCTGCTCTTTGCAAACAGAGAGATTGTTTGCTTGGACTTGCTGTTCTGCGCCCTAGCAGCTTGGTTGGTATAATTTTAATATATATATTTTTTTTTTTTTTTTTTTTTTCCTTCCCTGTCCATTCATTCATGTCACCCATGACAGACTTTTTCTTTTCCTCATAATCTAAATTCCCCGTTAACAGTTCTGATGAGAGGGGACGAAACCGTCGACTTTGTGTGTTTGATTTTAAACTTATCATGGCCTAATACTACATTTCTAGTTTTAATGCCTTAATACGCTTTTGTACCGTTTCAAACCTATTTAAATAAATAGGTATATATATATATATATATATATATATGAGAGACATACATGCAACCCTTGCATATTGAAATTGATGGAATTGGGATTTTCCTACAAAGCAGAAAGTACCTTTGAAAAGGTGTGTGCAAGAAAACACTGCAATAGCTTTGTTCATCCATTTCACAAAGGTTTCCATCATTATTGGTCTTGTACCAGGAAAATGACAAGTTTTGCAAAGATTTGTCCACCCGAGTACGTTCAAGTTCATCTAACAGGCCATTTGTCAAGTGTAAGGAGTTTGAAGCTTACTCAGTTCGTAAAAATGTCAGATTTTGTGTGAATAACAATTAGAAAGCATCTACACAAGGATACATTTGATGGCAGACATTTCCAAATAAGAAGATGTGCTTGAATGTAAATTCAATTTCAAAAAGATAAAATGAAAATTCAGAAAACAATATACTCACCACGGTTCCAGCAACGAAACTGCTTACTGGAAGAAAAAGAAAAAGAAAAAAACATGGTTTTAGAGAATTAAGTTGTAGATTCAGAAATTGTCAAGGTAAATTTAAATATTTTATGGTGCACAATGGAGAGAGAAAAGAGGGGGATAGGAGAGAGAGAAAAGAGGGGGATAGGGAGAGAGAAAAAAAGGGGATAGGAGAGAGAGAAAGAGGGGGATAGGAGAGAGAAAATTTTACTACATAGGAGAGAGAAAAAGAGGGGATAGGAAGAGAGAAAAGAGGGGGATAGAGAGAGAAAAGAGGGGGATAGGAGAGAGAGAAAAGAGGGGGATGGAGAGAGAAAAGAGGGGATAGGAGAGAGAGAAAGAGGGGATAGGAGAGAGAGAAAGAGGGGATAGGAGAGAGAGAAAAGGGGGGATAGGGAGAGAGAAAAAGAGGGGATAGGGAGAGAGAAAAAAGGGGATAGGAGAGAGAGAAAAGAGGGGGATAGGAGAGAGAGAAAAGAGGGGGATAGGAGAGAGAGAAAAGGGGGATAGGGAGAGAGAAAAGAGATTGGATAGAGAGAGAAAAGGGGGGATAGGAGAGAGAGAAAAGAGGGGGGGAGAGAAAAGAGGGGAGAGAGAAAAGAGGGGATAGGAGAGAGAGAAAACAGGGGGGGATAGAGAGAGAGAAAAGAGGGGGGGAGGGAGAGAGAGAGAAAAGGGATAGGAGAGGAGAAAGGGGGAGAGAGAGAGAGAAAAGAGGGGATTCAACTTAGAGAGAAGAGAGGGGAAAAAGGGGGATAGAGAGAGAAAAAAGGGGATAGGGAGAGAGAGAAAAGAGGGGGATAGGGAGAGAGAGAAAGAGGGGGATAGGGAGAGAGAGAAAGAGGGGGAAAGAGAGAGAAAAGAGGGGGGAGAGAGAGAAAACAAGGAGGAGAGAAAAAGGGGGATAGGGAGAGAGAGAAAAGAGGGGATAGGAGAGAGAAAAGGGGATTCAGAGAAAAGGGGGAAGGAGAGAGAAAAGAGGGGGAGAAAAGGGGGGAGGAGAGAAAAGGGGAGAGGAGAAAAAAGAGGGGGATTCAGAGAGAAAAGAGGGGGATAGGAGAGAGAGAAAGGGGGATAGAGAGAGAAAAGAGGGGAAGAGGAGGGAGAAAAGGGGATAGAGAGAGAAAAGGGGGATTAGAGAGAGAAGAGGGGATGGGAGAGAGAAAAAGGGGGATAGGGAGAGAGAGAAAAGGGGATAGAGAGAGAGAAAGGGGGGATAGGGAGAGAGAAAAGAGGGGGATAGGAGAGAAGAAAAGAGGGGATAGGAGAGAGAAGAGAAAATAGGGAGAGAGAAAACTCTGGATAGGGAGAGAAAAGAGGGGATAGGAGAGAGAAAAGAGGGGGATAGGGAGAGAGAAAAAGGGGGGATAGGAGAGAGAAAAAGGGGGATAGGGAGAGAGAGAAAAAGAAAATCAGAGAGAGAAAAAGAGGGGGATAGGGAGAGAGAAAAAGGGGGATTTCCTTAGAGAGAAAAGGGGGGATAGGGAGAGAGAAAATTCAGAGGGGATAGGAGAGAAAAGAGGGGGATAGGAGAGAGAGAAAAGAGGGGGATAGGAGAGAGAGAAAAGAGGGGGATAGGAGAGAGAGAAAAGAGGGGGATAGGAGAGAGAGAAAAGAGGGGGATAGGAGAGAGAGAAAAGAGAGATTTACAAGCATATGGGAAATTGCTTTTGGACCCATGAAAACATTGCTCAATGCTTCATTAACATAATGAAACAAGCATCAACAATAAAGAGAATTTATCTATGGATGGACGGATAAAAAGTACAATTTTTGAATCGTCTTTTTATATTTGAATGAAATAACATTACTAAATCAAATTGTTCCTTACAAAGAAATGGTCAAAAAGGCACAAATAGACTCACTGATAATGTTTGTGGCAAGAATATAATCGGCAGAGGAATGGACTGCTTTCACTTGGCCTTGAATCAAACAGATTAGAAATGACAACTGAAAAGAGAAAAGTAAAAATAGAGAGAGAATAAAACGAGAGAGAGAGAAAAAAAAAAAAAAAAAAAAAACGAGAGAGAGAGAAAAAAAAAGAGAAAAAGAGAGCCAAAGCTAGAGTTTAAAAAACTTTTTTTCTTTTCAAATAGTATTCCCTTCTCTTGATGGAATTTCCAGGCTTTAAATATGACTCATAACTTTTGAAGAAATTTTGTTCAAAACAAGTAACCTGGTTCCCCCTCCCCACACAACTCTTTTCCTGGCCTATCAGCTAGCAATTATTTGCCCCTTTAATATTTTTGGCAGTATTTCTATGGGTCATTCTGTTGGCGTGAAGGTTTTAGTGACATTACAATTCTTCTGAGAATATCCTGATTATGAAATCACCACCAGTTAAACACTTCCTTTGAAAGTGTCCTCATAATGACAAACCCCCTCCCAGCAATGTCTATAAAATTGAAATACTAAAAGGGGAGTCAATATTGTCTACCTTTGAGATACATTGTCACTCCAGATTCAAATCCAAATTATTACCAGGAATTCCATAGATAAATTCAAAGGTCACATCCAAGGCCAAGGAAACCCTTCATCCAAATACAACACCAATACATGAAGGCCCTTTTCCAAGAGAAGCATTATTTCATTTAAGATTTTATTTTTTATCTTTGGAACTTTTCTGTAGTTACACTTTTTAAGATCAATGACGAATTTTCTATTACTCGGTATTATTGGTTTTCTTTATGCATGTTTAGAAGCTTATCCGGTTTTCAAAATAAAAATTTAGCAAATACATTCATGACCTGGTTTGTTTTTAAAAGTGTTTTTGTACCCCCCCCCCCCATCAAAATTAATTTATGTTTCGTCATTTGTAGTGGAAAGGAAAGTTTGATTTTTTTTTTTTTTACAATGTGCCTGAAGATAATCAGATTTCGATTTTCAGCAAAGAGTGGATGAGAAACCAGGATAAGTCATAACAGGTTGTTTTACAATAAACTTTTTAAAATTCTTGATATGTATCAATCTTTCTTCCATTTTTGAGAGAGACAGACGCACGAGAGAGAGAGAGAGAGAGAGAGAGAGAGAGACACGCACGCACGAGAGAAAAAATACAAATAATGACCCCCTTAATTTCTGCACTGAACATTTTGTGGATTTTAAACCACAAACCCCACACACACACCTTCCAACTAGTTTAGTTGAGCTCGTATCAGGAGACTGACTTGGCCACACAGTTTGCTGTTATGTAAGCATTTTTTTCTCTTCTGGATAATTGTGGGACGGACTTGCCATTCTCAATTACTTGTTTTTGTTACATGCTATTGTCTGTTCACCTGACACCCTCTAGAATTTTATGCAAATAACTGTCAGCCATAAATAGTTTCCCCCCCATGTTTCTTGCGTCAATTAGACAGTCATGCGATTCACAGCCAAAAGCAAAAATTTTCTGTTTCAATGCATCCCCACTCTTGTGCTCATTCAACCTTTTCATGCACAGTACACCCACCTCCGACCGAACTTCCCTCTTGGATTACGACATTTTACTCTGCTTCTAGGATAGGAATTGTCAACAAATCTGAGCAATATAAACGTGTGGATGTTGATTAAAGACATTTAATTACAAAATGGCTGACAAAGTTCTTTTGTTTGTTTTATTGCGATTTTTATGCAACTGGCAATTTCTTCTTTGGACTCTGCAAGTGTAGAAAGTGTCCAAATGATTGGACAGTCCAAGCACTTTCATCTAATCAAGTTATTTTCAAGGATTTGCTATTTGCAAAATTTGTAACTTGTTCAAGAGGTAGACATTTTAAAATCCTGAATATGGTCAGTGTATTGTGGCAGTGTTCTAAGTTTATGCTTAGAAAAGTTGTTTTTTTTTTTTATTTTTTTTTATTTTATGATGAGGCCTTCTTTTTTTTTCTAACCTATTTTTTTCTCCATACTTGGACTTGCACATCAGTCAGCCAATTATTTAGGTCAAGTAATACCATTTCATAATCATAAAATCAATAAATACAAAATTGAACATTTATTATTTTACCTTTTACAGAGAGTTAAGCAATTTATTAATCCATTTTTTTTTTTTTTTTATTGTTTAGCTAACTTGTTTCCAAGTTTTTACAAACAACCGGAAAAGCAAGCCCAAATATTTTTCTAAATTTGGGCCAATATACACACAAAATTCCCCACCCCCTAATGACAAAAATTATACTTACCCCCACAAAAAAGGCAACAAAACCATTGAAAATTCTCAAGGCAAAAATCTGGAAAAAAAAAAAAAAAAAAAGTTATAAAAATAAAATAAAAATCAACCTGATGCCAAAAATTCCATGTTATTTTTTAACTTAATATAAAAATAATGACAATGAGAAAATCCAGTCAATTGCTGAAGCCTCCTGATGAGTGGACAGAGCGAGTACAAAAAGTCCATCAACAAAACTGAAGTTTGAGATACTGAATATAACATGCTGACTGGGACAAATACAAAGCACTGAATAGACAGATGCAACCGAAATTCAGACAGATGGGGGGGGGGGTAGATGGCAAGGGAGATCCAAGCACTGGCCAATTCCCACAACATGAAGTTCTATGCTGTCCTCAAAGTTTTTGGACCTAAGGAATCCCCTGTAGCTCCTTGGTACTGGAGGTCCGCTAATTATGGAAAGATCAGCTATTGCCAACAGGTGGAAGGAGCATTTTTATGCCCTTTGCAATCAGGCTTCTCATTGAAACAATTGCCACCAAACCTATTCTTGAGGTGCTCAGAGATGCCATAAAATCACAGAAGCTGAATAAATCTCCTAGAATCAATGGACTGAGTGCAGAAATATCAATATGGAGGTTAAGTGTTTGCCAAGAATATGTTTTAACAAGTGCTGGGATCAATGAGAACTGAGACTGGAAGCCATCTCTCCCTTCTTGCCAAAATCCTTCTCAGTTACCTCCAGAAATGTCTATCAGAAGAGGTTCTTCCCAAAAGCCAGTGTGGTTTTTGCTTTAACCATGCCACCATGAACAAGATCTTTACATGACCAAGAAAAGACCATTGAACAATATTGACCTCTCTACATTGTTTTTGTAATGTTGTCTGAGGTGTTTATTGAATTAATGATTAGCATGGCAACTTATAAAGTATAAGGGTTTATGTTAAACAAGAACAATACAAATAGATATTTACAAGTTCATCTGAAGCTGGAAAGCAAGCCGGTATTTACCTGACCTTCCCATGATGCAGGACGTGGCACAAGGCCAATTTTTATGTGGAGGCAATCCAAGCCCATAGGCTTGGCCAAAACTTCCCTGTACACCCTGCATACAGGGGGTTGGGTTTGTCTACCTCCCCAGATGAGAGACTACCGTTTGGCATAACCTTGTCTGGGTTCCTGAAAGCAGAGAGTTCGACGTCTTGGTGCTTGCTCAAGCCTATTCTGGAAAGCAAGCTTTCACCTGCAGACCAACACCATAGATGCTTATATTACTACTGGAACAGTTCATTTAAAAGGAAGTGCATCGGTTCTTTGTATACAGAGGATTATCAGTTCATTCCCTACAATAATTGTTCAGATTGAGCTAGTAGTAAACTGGGAGAATTGAAATCCAAGTGCTATTAAATTTTTAATAAATTTACATATTGAGAAGATAAAACAGAAAATGGTTGTAGTTTTTAATAAAATTATTCCCCTGTATTAAGATATTAATAATAATACAATTATTATAATATATTGTATAATAATACAACACAGAAGATTTGTATACAATGTCTATGGACTTCCATTCTTTTAAAACAAAGCTGTAGAAATAGAAAAAGCAATCAGTACAAATATCATGTCAATCATCAGATTCCCTAAGCAGCAATCACAATGTCAAGACTGGCTGTCTACAATGTCTTCCATCAGGAATACTGATAAGGGACAATGAACTAAAAATTAAAAAAATAATGCAAGAAAACTTGGACCTTTGTGCCTGGAAAAAAAAAAAAAAAAAAGTTTTTTTTCCTTGACACCACTATTATTTTACCTACCTTCTATCCTCAGCAATGTTTGTTTTAAAAATGATTAATTGAATCATAATAAGACCTAAACATCTGATGAAAGTGAATTTATACAGTTTTTTTCCTGTGTGAGAATTTACAAAAATAATTTTTAGATTTACAACATTCTAAAAACGAATACAATTAAAACTAATGCCATTATTTGCCAATACATAAAGAAATATGAACAATTTTTATTCATAAATTTATGAACATTTACTAGATTATTCAAATATGTGAACCAACTATAAGGAAATCCTTATTTAGCATTTTATAAAGTTGGAATCAACCATTCAAAAAAAAAACAACAAAAAACAAAAACAAACAAAACAAAAAAATGTTTATTTTTGTTGTCAACCCTCAATGGGAACCACACTTAGCCCTGTGCCAAAAACAAAAATACACTTAGTAAATAACTCCAGAGGGCTTTATTTTTTTTTTTTTTTAATATATATATATATTTTTTTTTTTTAAAAAAAAAAAAAAACAGACCACTTTAAAGGTACCATATATATATATATATATATATATATTATAAATTAATTGATTTAAAATATGGTTTTTCCCGCTACACAGTTCTAACCATGTTTCAAAAATGGAAGCTAAAAGCCCCGAATTTAATTTTGTAATTAAATTAAAGACATTAGTTTCATTTCATCCTCAAGCAATTTTGAAGTAACTTTTAAAATTACTGGGTTTTAAAGACAGCTAAAATTATAATTCATGTTTCCAAGGTTACAGATGAATCCAGTTTACTAGACGAGGGGTGTCTGGGTGTTCAATATGTCTATATTTTAATGTATCAGTTATTGCTACGTTTTGGTAGTGGGTAGGGATGTATTTTTCAATGAAATCTAACATTCGTTAAAAAAGCGTGTCGTCTGGATTTTTAAAAATTTATTATTATTTTATAAAATAAAAACTTGCACTATACGCAAGCATATACAGAAATTAATAATAACAGAGCAAGAGTTCATGGGGGTTACAGAGGGGGTCTTGTTAACCATCACTACCGAGTACTTGTCATTAGGCATTGAAATTAGTCTAGCTTATTTTAAAAGTCACCCCAAAATGCTACAAGTATGAAGATTCAAAATTTAGCAGCCATGGGCTTTCAAAAGTACCCCAATTTGGTTCCCCCACAGGTTATCAACTCAAATATATAAACCAATCAAAGAAAGAATATGTAAAATTTACCAAAAAGTTCAAGATTAATGAATAAATAAAAGAGTTGTACAAGTATATGGTGATTTTCTAAGTGTAGCCTAGATGTGGCACAAGGCCAAAAATATGGGGCACCCAGTGAGGATTGGACACTATCCAGTTGTAATTGTTCTAGCAGGACAATCTTGTTAACTATTACACTACATTGAAGTGCCCACATTGTGATTTATTAAGTGTAAGGCTGAAAGTATGGGCGGGGAACCAAGTGAGGATTGAGTTTATACAAAAATATAGGATGTGTAAATTATTTGAGAATCTTTTATGAAGAATTTAAATTTTTATGACGGTTTCATTTTTTTTTTTTTTACCTTTCCAATGTGAATATTTAATATTGCATTGATTGGGCGGGGGACACACAAAAAAAAAAAAAAAAAACAAAACAAAAACACAAAAGAAAAACACAAAAAAAACAAAAACAAAACAGGATAAAAAGAAAAGAAAAAGGTAGCATCTGTTACACATCTGTACCTTCACTTGACATTCAACTTAATTGAAAGAGTTAGTGTCTGTTGGAAATTACTAAAAATGAAAGTTTTAGTCAAACAATTTCGTTTTGACCTTTAAAAGATTGTTTTTAAAGAAGAAATGGTTTTTAAAATGCATTTTTAGAGTTCAAGTAATGGAAGTTATGTGTGGAGCCTCACTGATTTTGGAGATTTTTCAATCACAAATAAGCAAGCTTCTGCAAACTTCCAGGCTGGGTTCAGTTATCTTTAAGGGTTGTATAGGCTGAGAGAAACCTATCACACACACAGCACAAAAAATTACCTCATATGGGGTGGGGTTGGGGATATAGATCTATTTCAATCAACAAGTTTCTTAATTGAAATGGATAAATTCTGTATCAATCCTCTGACTGCTGTCAAAAGTTAAATTTTAAATTTCTAATTCCCAACATGAACAGTCTATACACTGGGGTTAAATAAGACCGGCATACTTCTCGTTGGTTGAAATAGATCTACCCTCCCCCACCATATGAGGTAATTTTGTCATATATATATATATATATATATATATATATTAGTTGACTCTCCCGTCGATTTAGACGTATGAGGGTTTGTGATCGGTTTCAGGAACCGACACAGGAAGATTTGATTATAGTGGTGAAGGCCTCGTGCAGGACCATCCACACTTTTGAAGGACAAATACAGAGACCTGGTGCACTAATGCCACAAGGTTTCCCAAACGACCCTCCGCAGGTTTTGAATTCAGAGTTGTCCTTCTAGACCAGTTGCCATCCAAGGCTATAAAACCCAGTCTTTCCTGCTATTTTACCCATAGCTGGAGGGAGAAGAAAGAGGATTCACACCTTTCCCAAGTGTATTAGCACGTAAGGAATGTAATGGATTCGACTGAATTATATATAGGGCTCTCAGATTCCTTTATGGAAGCCATTATCCATTACTCCACCGTGCCTCATATATATATATAATGAAATGGATAAAGTCGACAATTATTTTAAGATGTTTTTTAGGTTTATACATTCTTTTTATAGATACAAATATTTAAGTAAATGCTCAATTTTATAATAAACGGTATTAATAACATTTACCGGCCTGAATGTCAGACATTTTCATAGAAAATGTTCATTCTCTGACAGGAATCGAACCTGTACCCTATACAGAACCGTCATTTAGCCTGATGTGCAGTTTCATTTGTTTCCATTGGGATATTATTATTCAATATAATGTGAATGAATGAGAAAAATCATGAAAAATTGTTTAAAAATCGTACTAGGCAATAAAACACTCCTCTGTGGCTTAATTGGTAAAGCATGTCAGGCTATATAACAGTTCCATATAGGATACAGGTTCGATTCCAGTTGGCGGATACATATTTTCTATGAAAATTTCGGACATTCAGGCATATAGTGTTAATACCATTATTATAAAAAGTATATTTATTTCTATCTATAAAAAATGTATATAAATATAAAAAATATAATATATATATATATATATATATATATATATAATATATATTATATATATATATATATATAATATATATTATATATATATATATATATAATATATATATATATATATATATATATATATATATATATATATATATTATATAATATATATATATATATATATATATATATAATATATATATATATATATATATATATATATATATATATATATATATATATATATATATATATATATATATATATATATAAATATATATATATAATATATATATATATATATATATATATATATATATATATGTTATATATTATATATACAATAATAATATATATTATATATATATATATTATATATATATATATATATATATACATATATTATATATATATATTATATATACAATATTATATATACAATATATTATATATATATATATATATATATATATATATGATAATGGTTTTAAAAGAAAGTACAATTGCCCTATTTTAATTGGAATTCTTTTTATGTTTACTTTTTCTTTTAAATAATTTTATTAGGACTCACTACAACTACAGAGCCAGACTGCTGCTTTTCAACATTAAAAACCATAAAACCTTTTCTAAGGAAAAGGCACATTGAATTCTGAAAGATTTAATGCACTTACACGGCTTTCAATGGAGAAAAAAGTTTCCTCAACAGTCATTCAGGGGGATCAAAGAGAAAATTAACCTTTTCACTCAAAGTAAAACAAGAATGGATTTCATTTTTAAAAAGTGGCAGCTCATGGCTAAAATTAGTGGGGGATGCTGCTTCAGAAAATTTTTAGCCATTGTTTTATTGTAAAATGAAATAAATGCATAAAAATTTGATAAAAATCCTAAACAATTTGTTAAGAGTTCAAGCTTAAACAAAAAATTTTGGTTAAAAAAAAAAAAAAAAAAAAAAAAAAAAAAATTGAGAATGACATAAGAAAAACAATTATCAACACACAGCAATTTTAAAAGTCCTTGTTACATCATTCGTTTTCAATATGTGGCATACTTAATGTAATGAATTTTCATTAACAGTACATAATTTATTTCTTTTTCCTTAAAATCAATTCCGTTATATTTCACTCACCATCAGCTTATTTTGTTTACTACAAAAACATTGAAAATAAATGTTAAACCAGATTTCAGTTTTTATTTTAATCTAAATACAACCCCTCATATCCGGACTTTGTAACTAATTCCTCATATCTGGAAGGCCTTCTTAGTCTGGTTGTCAGGGATTCTACTGTATTGCATTAATATTCAAGCTTACCTTTTAATTTCAACAATAATTCTTCTGTCGCCACAATTTGAGTGTTTGTAGGTCCTTACTTTCCATACAATCAATTATTTTTATTTCATGAGTGACTTTCACAATTTATTTTAATTACTCAAATTTATTTCAAATTGTAAAAATTGTGACTATTAAAAAAAAAGAAAGAAAAAAAATGCTGAATACAATTGCACAGTAATGAAAACTTGAGAATCCAAGATTCTGAGCCTGGAAGAATGTTTTTTTAATATTAGTACAGAATCTGCTCGATTCCAAAATGGTACATGTTGAGAAATGGCCTCTAAGATTAAAGTTGAAAACAGGCAATTTTTATTTTGAAACACTTATTTGAAAACCAGTAATTTTTTCATTTGAAAATGAGCTTTTGAAAGTTAGAGAGTTGTGTCCCTTTAAATGGAAAAGGGGGTGTGACACGGTGACAAACTGACATTCACTATATAGATTTTACATTCATACACACATTTTTGTAAGTTCATTAAATTACAAAATTGATACATCTTGTACCAGGTGTATGTAGTTTATGGAATGTTAGAGTGAAAAACCATCTGCATTTATTACAAGTGTGAGTAAACAGAGTTATCTCTCTCTCTCTCTCTCTCTATATATATATATATATATAAGACCCTATTTTCCACACTTTTTAAAAGGGAGATCCTAAAAACCAGACATGAGTAACATTTTTAAAACAGTGAGCTAAATGAAATATGGCAGATCATAAGGCGAGCTGCACTAGTAAAAATATTGAATGTAATTTTTCATTCAAGGTACATCAACCATTTTCATTACAGAAGCCCATACGTGTAAACATCTGTTTGAGAAATGGGGAAATTGTTTGTTTTGTTTTTTCCTTCCTTTCGTGAAAAATTTGTTCGATAATAAAGTTGCAGTTTTGCTATGATTAAATAACAGAACACTAACAGTGAATTAACGCACGCTGCCGTATGATTTGTTTTAAATTTATTCATTTGATTAATAATACAAGATATTTAAAAAGAAACTATATTTCTTCAGGGAAAAATTTATGAACGTTTTCAGTTTCGAAAAAAAGAGTTTTTACACGCATGAACTTCCATAGTAAAAATCACCAATTGTTTTTTTAAACAGAAACTTTAAAAATGGAGAAAAAACATTCAGCCAAAGGTTACTGAATTCAAGAAACGGTGAACTTTCATTGTTACGTATGAAAAAATTTGAGTGAACAATTGAAAAGGAAACAATTTTAATAAATATTTTCCTCATGAAATTAAGCGTGCGATTCAGGTAATGAAACGGGGTACCCAGGTTTGACAATGAGGTTTTTTAGTTACCCCACAACACAGAAATTTATTAAATCCCCAGTTTGGCTACAAACAAAAAAGTAATCTGTATCCGAAATTTAATTATAAAATTAGATTAATTAATACATTTTTCAGAATAGGATTAAAAAAAAATAAATGTGCAGATCAAGTAAAAAAGATCTTCCTTCAATAATGAGCGACATACTGGACAATTTTGGGGTTTTTTGATCAAGTGTTTGTTTTTTTTTTTTTACTTTATGAAAAATTGCACTGAGCTTAACATGGGTCGACCTTTCGGTACTTTCATTTTAACACCAAATTTAAAAAAAAAAAAAAAAAAAAAAAAAAATGAAATTTAGAAGAAAAAAAGTTAAAAAAATTGACATTTTTCAAATTTAGACATTTTTATTTAAATTATTTTTATTACTTCAAATGATGTTAATATAGTGAAAACATGTATTTGAAATAGGCGATCCATTTTGAAAATACGGATATCGATCTGCGCATTTCGAGTAAAGAAAATGTATTCTCCGGCAGGGATCGAACCTGCGCCTCCTTTTGTAGGAGAAACAACAGTTTGATCCAATATGCTTTAAAGCTTTTAGTGGTATTATTTAATTTATAGATTAACTTTTCATTTAAGATGAAAATACGAAACGAACGAGAAAGAGTAAGACTGGCACAGACTTGAAAAAGTAATTTCATCTTTTAGTCCTGTAAATTAATGTGAAGTTTTATTATAAATCTACTTTTCATCCACTAAATTGATAATAGTTGAAAAATGAAAGAGTTTAAAAAAAAAAATTACACAGTAAAACAACTTTTATTTTATCATTCCGATAAGGAAAAAAAAATTTTTTTATTTATTAATTTCTTTGCATTGAAGAACAAGAAAAAACAAATGAAAATATTAAGAAACCGAAAGAAATAAATAAAAGAGGAAACAATTGTTTCCCATTTTTAATCATTTTAATGGGGGGGGGGGACAAAAAAAACAAAACGACAACCAAAACAAACCTACTGTCCAATCTGTTATTGGTAATTTTAGAAAATATCTAATTTTTTTAATTAAAAAAAAAAAAAAAAAAAAAATTAAGATATTTTGGTAAGGAACTTAAGAAAAAAATAAGAAAGAATTTTTCAACGTAAAAAAAAAATTCAAACTAAAAAAAAACTCATTTTTATTTTACTACAACACTAAGTTTTCTAACCTAAAAAAAAATCATCACCCAACGTCAAAGTAAATAAATAGAAATAAAAACGAAAATAAATTTTTAGAACCGAGTAATTTATTATTGTTAATTTAAATGCCGTTTAAAAAAAAAAAAAAAAAAAAAAAAAAAAATTAGTTTCACTATGAACTGGGAGTAGAAAATTAGGATTAATTTTATTTTTACGGTAAAATTTTTACCAATTTGCTAAACAAAGAACTAACAAATTATTTACTTTTTATTTCTGACTATTTTCTTGTCTGCACCCACCTCCCAAAAATAAAATTAAAATAAATTATTTCTCGGTAAACAAAAATTTAGTAAAATAAAAATATTTGTTACATTTATAAATGTATTTGTAAATGATTTATACAAAGCAAATTTACCCCTACAAAATTACATGAAATATTCTAATTAATGATTTAACAAAAAGAAAAAAAAGAAATTAGAATAGAAATTAGAATAGAAATTTAACTTAAGCATTATCAAAGATTTTACAAGTGCGTACGGAACGGAGATTTATTGAAATGACTAAAAAAGTAACAAGTTTCAAACTTCTTACACTTACTGAAAGTGAAGTCTGAATTATAGATTTTAATTTAAAATCAACTTACAACTTTTAAATAACATTGTTTCATAAAAAAAGAAAAAAAATACACCAATTAATAAACTTTTAATTAAAAGCAAACATTGATAAAAATTAAAAGTAAAACTTGTTTTTAAATTTAAAAATTACGAACTCACGTCGAGGGTAATAAAATAGTTTAACAAAATTAACTGGTTTTAAAAGTGAAATGATTAAGAAAAAAGAAAAAGATTAAAAAAAAAACAACAAGTTACTTTAAAATATAAAGTCTTGTAAAATACATAAAAACCAAATCCTGTGGCACTCTCAAGAAAACCACCAAATTAAAGTTTATTTTTCTTACCAACCTTTGTAGGTGATACTTCGTGGTATATAGCACCTTCATTTGGGATTGTATGGCCTGGATTCGACATGATTATTATTTAAATATGTGAGAAGAATGGCTTTTTAGTTGTTTTTTTTTAAAATTGCAATCCAATTCAACAAGCAGGTGATTATTCGTTTAGTACGACTTTGATTCAATATGGGTCGGAGGTGGAAAGTGGTGTCTTTCTTTTCACAACCATAATAAATAGTTTTTTTTTTTTTCTTTTATCTCGTCACATGTTCAACCAACAGAAGGTGGATTGGGGGGGGTGCATTATTTTTCAAAAAAAAAAAAAACACTAATCGACTTTGCTTTCTCTACCTTATTAATATTAAAAAAAAAGTGAAAATTCTTTTTGCTTTTTTACTGTAGTGTCGAGCCACATTAATAGTTTTTTTTTTAAGTTAAAAATAAATTCACATTTAAGAGCGAAATCTAACTTCATTACTTAAACTAAACAGATGTAAAAAAAAAAAAATAATGTAGTAATTTTAAAAAAATCAAGCCCTAATGATTATTTAATTTTATTCACGCGACAAGAAAAAAAAATCAATTTTTTTTATAATTGGAAGTTGAGTTGAGTAAGATGGCACTTTGACTTGTTAAAATACTTAGAAATTTTTATTTTTTACGCAGTTGTCAGTACCAGTCGAAACAGCGGATTAAATGTCAGTTGTCAGGACAAGAACTAATGACTAATGATTGATTATTACAGTTTTTAAATGGGAACGAGAATAAATATCTGTCACGTCATATCTAAGCTACGATTGGAAAATCCTAATTTCTGTCATATCATTTATTCCCGCGCGAAACCTTTAGTCTGGTTGTTCAGTTTAAAACCCAGTATCCGGCCCAACCACAATTTGCCTTTCCCGCCAAAGATTCCTAGTCGAAAGATAATGAACTCATCGCCTTTAATAGAGAATCGTGGACAACTGATTGTATTTGAAGGACTAGACAAAAGTGGGAAATCTACCCAAAGTCAAAAACTTAAAGAAGCTCTGCTAAAAGATGGTCAATTTGTAGATCTGTGGTCCTTCCCAGGTAAGTTTGAAAAAAGTAGTAAACTGAAGCGATTTTAGTACTTAAATGCCGAACGAAATTAAAAAAAAGGAACCTCGTTCATCATAATGTCTCAATTGCCAATTATAATAATCAGATATTTTCTTAAAATTGGTAGAGACAATTTTTTTTCTATGAAGCTATTTTTTCTAATGCAGATTCGTTTGTTAGTGAAAAAGCGTGTACAGTGGCCCTAAAATGGGGGTTCCATTTACAATGTCCGTTTAACGATAAACTGGACACAATAAAGAAAGAGTAAACTTACCTCAACCAAAAAAATCCTTTTCAATTTTCATAAATAAATTGCTTATTGAAAGGAAAATTACTAGTACAATAATTGGTGAGGTTATTTTATTATTGTTATTTGTAATTAGTATTTAAAAGATTGGCACCGTTTGTGTTTTTAGACTAAAATGGAAAAGTGACTTAAAAGTCCACAGATTTTCTTTTCTTTTAAAAACAAAATGCAATGCTGTCAATTTTTACCTGACAATGCTACCTTTGTTTTCTTTACAATCTAAGGACATCTCTAAAAAATATCATGTGAGATGGGGGGAAAAGATGTCTCTTGTTTTGAAAAATTTACCAAAAAACCGGGAATTTATCAGATTTCGTTTATATGAAATTAAATTATTAATTTGTTTTTGTTTGCTTTTTTAAGTTTGGATCTTTTCTGTTAATTCACCCCCCCAAAAAAGTTACTTATCGCAAATATTATTAATTCACCCCAAGAAGTGATAAATTTAAAATCAAAGTGCGTTTGTTTGTTTTTTTTTTAGAGGGGTGGTACTCTTTTTATTAAATTTTTGGCACTCTTGAAATTATAAATTTTAAAAATCAAATTTTTTTTACCTTGCCTCACAACAACTCTGACCCTCAAGATGAGAAATTACCAAAAATCGGGGAGTTATTCACATTTCGTAAGTGCGGATGTAAGGTACTTACAAAGAATTTTTTACAATTTAAAAAAGAAAAAAAAAAGAAAAGTTTTTAGCTTGTTTATCGGTGTGAGCGCGAATGGCTGTCCCCACACATTTTTAGAAATAGCGCACTTTGGGGCGATCGAAAAAGTCGACCCACCCCAAGTGCAATGGAAGGCCTCACTGGGAGAATTTGGTGTAAATTTTAGTAAAATATAAATAATTCTTTTTATTTTAGGGTGAATTAACTAACATTTCATTTTTCTTAGTACCTCCACTAATTCGCTGAAAAAACAGTATGAAAAAAGGTCCCAAACTTAAAAAGTTTTATCGTCAAAATGTTTAAGAGGAAAGATCAAAGTATTTTTTTTTATCATTTTTTTTAAATTTTTTAAACCTTTTTTTACCACATTCGAAATTTTGGTTAATTTTTTTTTTTTTTTTTAGTCAGCGGTCGACGTAATATTTACGATTTAGTGTTTTTTTTTTTTTTTTTTGCGCCCTTTTTGGTTTTTTTTTCCAGCGAAAAACATTGATTTCGAAATTCGACGCTATTACGCTTTTGCAAACGACCCCCCTGGGGTGCTTCCTGTCATTCAGCAGTTCTGTTATTGTTAATTAAAATAAAATATAAATCTCGAGAAACGAAATCAATGTTTGTAAAATGTTTAAAAATACCTTCAGTGTTTTCAAGTAAACTTAAATTTACTGGTTAATTAATAATATCAAATTCCAGAAAATCACCTGCTTCTTAAATCTTTAACTTAGGGCCCTTCATGAAATCGCTAAAAACATGATGAAAAAGACGCCAAACTTGACAAAAACAAAAAATTTTCAAGGAAGCTTTTCATTTTTAAAAATTCATTTTTTAATCCTTCTTGAAATACTTTTTTTTTTTGGCGGGGGGGTAGTCATAATTCTTGAATTCGCTAAAAAATGAATATACATGTTGAAAAAAATGACCCAAACTTAACATAAAGAAAGTTTTATCGTCAAAATCTTTATTATTATTAAGAGAAAAGACCAAAATATATTTTGGGTCCTTTTTAGAACCTTGAAAATTTTGATGAAAAAATTTTTTTCTTATGTCAGTAATTTCTTTTTCTTATGTCAGTAAATTAGTATAGGAAATTTGAGGGTCTTTTTGCAGTGAAAAACACCTGGATTTTGAAATTCTTGCAAAAGTCAGATAGTTGTTGTATTTTAATGAAAGTAGTGTGTCCCGATGAAAATAAAATATAAAAACAAAAATAAAAAGAATTCAAATTAAAATAAAGCAGTTGTGATTTCCTTTTAAAGCCCTTATCTCTTTCTTTCTATCTCTCTAAACTTCTCTTTCTATACTTTCTTTCTGTTATAGAGTAGTTTCACAGTGGAGGCTTGTATTTCACTAAAATAGGTTCGATATACAAAACGTTAGGAACTTGATATAATAGTTGATGACGCAGCAATCTAGTTGTGGTGGCTGATACTTTAATATCCGACTAACGGTCGTCTGGCATCGACTGCTACTACTCCTACTTATTATAGGTGGGAGTCTATTAACAATAGAATAGGTGTGTTCCAGTATAACACTTTCTTTCTTTCTTTCTTTCTAAACTTCTCTTTCTTTGTCTGTACTTCTCTTTCTATACCTCTATCTTCCTCTTTTCTCTCTTTTTTTCTCTCTATCCATCTCTCTGTCCTCTCTCTTTTTATCTATCTCTGTACTTCTCTTTCTACGCTTCTCTCTCTTGTTTTCTTTCTCTCTCTAAACTTATCTTTCTATACTTCTCTCTCAACCTATGAAGTGGCAACCCTAAAATAAAAAGAGGAAGAAAAGACTAAATCTGTCCGGAAATTTGCAGGATCAGAGCCTACTTGTGATTGAAAAATACCAAAAATCAGGGAGGCTCCACACATAACTTCCATTTAAAAAATAAAAAAATGAAGGGATGTCAGAAAATAAAATAATTTAAGCCAATCAAAAAAAATTGACACAAAGTAACTTTTGATGTTAGCTGAAACCAATGTTTACACCAGTTTCTTGAGCCTGGTTAAAAGCATATAAACCTGACACTTCTAGGCTAGAAGCAAATTGGACGAGAAGAAGATGGAACAAAAGAATGCTACTGCATATAAACCAGTCATTTGTGATATGTGTGGCACTATTTAGCTATGGTAATTAATTAACTAATTAGCCATAAAAATTGAATGGGAAAATTCTGAAAACAAGGTTTAAGAGATATCTTGAAAAATATGCCGATCAACATAAGGTTTTATTTTTTATTTTTTTTAAAAGTCTATTTTCTCAAGAAACAGAAAAATTGTGTCAGCGATAATTTCACGAGTAGGCAATCTCTGGCAATTGATTAATGATGGTCGTTAAAAGTGCTGGTTAAGAAAACACAAAATAACCAGAATTGACAAAGACATCATTTGGGGGTGCATAGATATTGTGTACACAGGTAATGTGGCCAAGGAAATAGGCAGATGAGAGGGCCATGTTTAATTGTAGGAATTTTGGCAGGGTGCAAAAGGATTTGCGTAAACAAAGTTCCACTTGATAATTCTAAACTGCTCATGATCTGGGAACAGGATAAGAAATCTTACTTATTATAAAACGCAGATTGTGTGTGTGTGTGTCTGTAACGTTTATATATTGGATCGGATTTCCTACATTTTTCAACCGATTTCAACAAAACTTCACAGGACTACATAAAATTACCTTGTGGTGGTTCTAACAGCACCAAAAATGGGAAAAATATAATTGTTTTTACACAAAATCAATTTGGAAAACACGATTAAGAGACATCGTGAAAATGGAAGGGGACAACTCACATCGGATTTTGTATATTTTTTTAAATATGATAAAACAAAAACTTTTTTTTTTTTTTTTTTTGCAGGTAGTGTTTCTTATTCTCTTGCACACTTTTTTCTTTATTTTTAACATTCAGAATGCTTTAAAATTCCATTTACAAGACAATTATTTATAATAAAATTCCTTTTCAATTGGGAGACTCATAACGATTGAAAACAATGTTTTTGTTTGAGTTTGGGTTTGACCAATTCGTAAAAAAAAAAAAAAAAAAAATAAGACATGCGTGTCCGTCAACCTTAAACAATAATCTTTGTCAATTTTATTTTTCAGTCTTTATGATGGTGGATACTTGATCTATCTCTTACTGTTATATCCCCGGGCAACGCCGGGCTCTACTGCTAGTCCTGAATAAGCAGTGGTGTCAAAGAGTTAATTAATGAAGCAAGCTTAACCACACCAGCATGACCAAGACACCATTGGCCGTGTGATAGCAGTGGTGATAGGTAGAGGTAAAATAGTAAGAGAGATGGAGAAGTTACCAAGATCCACCAAAAGGAATTGGTGTGAGGTACCAATGTGAGGAGGACAGAGTTTAAGAGGATAGCTATCCTACAACCTCACCTCACGGATGAAGTGATCCCCCCAGAGATAGGATGTAATTAATTTTCCTGGCCAGACAACAAAGAGACCCTTGTTGGAAATCAGGGATTCACTGAAAACCCCAGACTGCATCTAACCTTGCACTGGATTTTGGTTAAGTTCATATAAGCGAGTGCCCTCAGGCAGTTTACTAGATCGCGTTCTGAGGTTGGGGAGAGCTGAATGAGATTCCATGATTCCTGCCTCAGAGTTCGCCTTTCTATAAAACAGCAAGTTATACTGACGAACGAAGCTAAGCTGGCACCTAAAAACTAAACCAATTGACTTAGAAAACCAGAACTTGCCTAGAAGTATAAAAGTGTCACTTTCAGAAGAAACGATTTGGGAAGAACACACACTCCTTTATAGAACAGACTGATAAAAGTTGATTTGCTTACTTTAAACATACCCAAATTTTTTTGGTTTTCATTTATTTCTTTTTGCTTGTGCAATGTTACCTCCAGTTTAAACTCACCTTGCACTATGGTCTCGGTGCCTGATTGAACTCGTCAACTTAAGATCAAAATCACAATGTGGGTAAGTTAGACATGAGATCGAAGTAGTTACTTCGGTAACCAGTCATTGGAAGTGAGCTGAGAACGATGGAGCTGGTGTTGAACTGG